GGTTCAAACCCACCAGCCACTCCTCAGAAGGAAGGTTGGGCAATCCTACTTCTGTAGTGATACTGCCTCGGAAACCCAAGGAGGGGTCGCTATGAGTCCGGCCGATTTGATGGCAAATAACAACAACAACAACAGACTGCTGCTATTCCAAGCAAGGCCTTAGTCATAAAGAAGAACAATGCAGAGTGAGATGTTAAGAGAGAACACAATGAGGAAGAATTTCAGGAACTCAGACACTACACAAAAACCTAGCGTGCCCCTCCCCCTGTCCCCAAACCCACCCCATCCCCCTGGATTCCAGGCCAGGTTGGCAACAAAGGAGGCCATCCAGTAGCTAGGCTTCCAAATGTGATGTATGGGAAATACAGCTTAAGTTCTCCAGCCTGAGTATGCTAGCTGAGCTCATCAGTGGTTTGAGAACTAATATCTGAGGGAGACTAAGAACAAAAATTAAATAGGGACTGACACACAAACAAATTACAGTTTGAGTTCTCTCTTAAAAACAATAGTGGCTAGAATAGAGCACAAATATTCAATTTCATTCTGATGATCATGATGTAATGTAATGTTAGATATCTCATTATGTAACCAGGAAGTTATCAATACAGAATGAGCCTTTTTCCATAGCATTTAAAATGGTGTACCACATATGACAATTCAAAAGATTAGCACAAAAAATTAAATAAAAACTGTTTAAGGGTTTAACTCAACTAAAAACTTCAGAATAGTTTGGGAGGTACAGATGCAGGAATCCCCCCTTCACAACATTGCAGACAGTAGTCCACTAAACTATATATATAAACACTTTAAAGATAGGACACACTCTCTCACAACATAGCTCCTTCTATTTTTAGACAACTTCAGTTATTAAAATATCTTTCTTATTAAGGGACATGTACAGCTCTATAAGTCTGGATAGTTTAGAAGGCATTGCTTTCTTTCCTTAGGTCAATTAATTAATATATACCACATAAAGGCAATAATAAGATACTGGTTTACTTACTGAATTTGTTTAAGGCTCTTACAAAACTATTTTTAGCAGTGACCATTTTGTATACCTTAAACTACCTCTTAAGAATGTTATTAGTCCCTAAGTCTAAATATAAAACTGATGGTAAAGGAGTATTTCATATTGTAGATTTACCAAACTATCTCTCCAAAACTAAAAAGACTTTAATGGAACATAATAATAAACCTAAATAGTTGTGCCTAAGGCACTTGACTGCTAACTAGAAGGCTGGAGGTTCAAACCCACCAGCCACTCCTCGGAAGGAAGGTTAGGCAATCCTACTTCTGTAGTGATACTGCCTCGGAAACCCAAAGAGGGGTCGCTATGAGTCAGGGCTGACTCAACGGCACATAACAACAACAAATAGTTATAACTATATTTCTGGCAACTCAGTCTACTTATTTTAACATTTAATTCTGTAATCAAATAAGTTACATGTTTAATACTAAAGCTCTTTTCCTAGCAAAAATAGTGTGTGTATATAGCATATATTTTGAAAAAGAAATTCATTTTGTATTTATAGTGTGCTAAATATTTGCCATGTGTAGTCCAAATTTTAATCCAGATGTGAAATACTTGATACTGATTTAAATACCATGAGAGAATATGAAATATATTTTAATAAACAAAATCAAATGTACTTTCATATCCTCCTTCCACCTCAGAGCAGAGCATTTCTGTCGAGCTATTATCGAGATCGCAATGTGGAACTCTCAAAGCTGCTGCACAAACTGGGGCAGCCTCTGCCATCCTGGCTGAGACAAGAGCTGCAGAAAGTGAGATAGCATCAAGAGAAAACATCTTGAGGATTCATCTTCTATGGAACACTCACCTTTTCTAAAGCTTCCAGAAGCTACCAAAAGGCTGTTGAAAAATATACCTCTTCAAATGAGAAAAAAAGAACAAAATTCTTTCCATGTGCTGGCATATGGATGGTAAAAAAATAAAAAGAAAGAAATATATATATATATATATATTACAAGACTTGAGGCCTATGGCCTTTCTCTTAACCCATATCTGAGCCTGTAGACTACTGTGCACTCATGTGGAAGTCAATAATAGCAACCAATATAAATATCAAACTCAAATGCAGAACTGCTCCATTTCATAGTAATATTTACACTTTTATATGTCAAATAATTGTGTCTCTGTAGATTTTTAGACCACTGTTTGCCTGTACAATATTTTCTTATTTTTTGATTCTGTAAAGTGACTCTCAAAAGAAGTAAAATAAACATCACAATGTAGCATTAAATGCCAAAAGTATAACACCCTTGAAAAATGCTTGTCAAAATACAAATTCACTCAAGTGTTGAGAAAGACTTGTAAATTACAATTTGTGCTAGAACAGAAAGTGAAGTGGCATATGAGCTTTATCTGAGTTTTTTTTTTTTTTTTTTTAAAGAAAAAAAAAGCTAAGTGCTATGGCAAAAAAAAAAAAAAGCAGTTTATCAGATTACATTGTCTGGTACATTTATGTAAAACTTAGTAACTCTTCTATTGTAACATAATTGTTACACTGGTATATAGAGTAGAGTTGTTGAATAGTAATAGAAACATATGAATAAACCAAAACAGTAAATAATAAAATGTACTAACTAAATCCTCTAAAAGGGATAAACTGGAAGGGTCTAAAAATGTATCAAGGAGCCCTGGTGGCACAGTAGTTAAAGCATTTGGCTGCTAACTGATAGGGTGATGATTTGAACCCACCAGCTGTTCTACAGGAGAAAGATGTGGCACTCTGTTTCCATAAAGATTACAGCCTTCAAAACCCTATGGGCCAGGTCTACTCTGTCCTATAGGGTTGCTATGAGTTGGAAGCAACTTGAAGGCAATGGGTTTGAAAGATACATCACTGACTATCCCTTGCTGTGAATTGCAAATCTATTCTAATAGTCCTCACTGATTCTACAGAAATGCATGTATAGAATCTGAGGTATGTGTCATTTCCAGAAACAGATTGACTTTTAAATATGAATAGCTTTTTTTAAAAAAATGTTTCCCAAACAAAACCTATTAAATGAAAACTAAGGATAGATTCCCTAGATGATGTGTTTAGCTGATTTACATTCAAATTATAGAAAAACTACATTCTTTGTCAGGTAGTTCAAAACAAAACTGTGTAATATAGAGACTTAAAACAAAAAAGAATTAATATATGATTAGTAATCTGTTATTTGCAGTGATATTTTTAATACAAGAAAAAGGAAGCAGGCAAAGTTTAGAATATCTCATATACATCACTATCATTGAAGACAACAGCACATAGTTAAATTTAAGGATCACCAACAAAATTAAATGTAAGAAAAACAAAGATTAGTAAGGCATGATTGTTGAAATATTATATTTGTAATTAAATTTTAAATGGCATAGATGACTAATAAAAGTGTTCAAAAAAGAAAAAAACAAGGTATCCTTATTTTCCATTGTTAATATTTACTTTTATGTGTACTGCATACATAAATAAAATTTTATTAAATAAATTTACTACTATAATTAAATCATTTTTGTAAAATGTTATCAAAAGAACTAAGATATACAAGGAAAATCCATAGCCCAATACTATCATTTTCATTGTAAAGTGTAAAACTAAACTCTATCAATTATTCTCTAAATATGAAATCCTTGCAGTTACTATAATATTTTTAAATTTATACAATAGTTATTAATGATATTCATTTAAAAGTTTTTATGTGCCTAAAGGATACACTAATTTCTAAACAATTAGAAAAAAGAATTGGAGAAAGAACCAGTTTAACAACTGGTTTAACAACTGGTTAACAACTTAACAAACTCCTGCTATAAAAGCAAAATCAAAGGCATTTGGGTAAATACAATAAACTCAGTCTTTTTGTTTACTGCTGCCTCTTTTGAAGCAGCACTTGCTCAATGAGCATAATCTCATCTCCATTAATCTAAGGAAACCGAATTAAGAGGGTCAAACATTGGTCCCAGCAGTTGCGAACGCTGTCATGTTATCATTTTAGCAACAGTATTACTGCTAAAAGAAAAGAAAAACATACATTTGTGCTTTAATGATAAGATGCACATTTAAACTTATAAACAAAGCAGCCTGAGTTAACTGAACAGTTCACCCTTTAAAACAGATATAAAAACATGGATGTTTGTATAATGGATGCTTGTATTGTGAAAGGAGAAAAAAGCAAGAGATCATACAAAAATTTAATCATTCACGAATACATGTATTCTGCTGCCTAGAGCAGCAAACCTTTGAAAGGATTTTTGACCACTCAGTGTGTGTTGGAGACAGCACCAAATATCCTAGAAGACATGCATACTTTTTACATTATCTACTCTAGTGGGTTATTATGCTATTTTGAAAGTAACATAAATACAGATGAGAAAAGAATGAGAGATGATGTAATTTAAAACTAGCTTTGTACAGAACCCCCTTTTCATTGCTTAAAATATGAAACTTCCTCAGGAAGAAATGAAATGGTTATTTCAATGTTTATAGCTATAATATTCTTGTCATTCACATTGAATGAAAATTACTGGAAACACTTTTTTCTCTGAGTTTTTTAAAATAAAAAACCTGGATATGATTGTGATAGTTGCATGGTACCTCATGTACAATAAACTCTGATAAGAAAATGAAGAGGTTGGGTCTGGTGATTTTAGGTAATAAGTAGGTATTTGGTTGATTATTTTTGCCTGGGGCAAAGAGGTGGTTATAGAATGAACACAATTCAAAACGAAGAGAGGTTTAAAAAGTTTCACATAGATATAGATATATAAATATCTTTTTCCAGATCCTTTTCCTTCTAAAATTAGGAGTTGCTTGCGTGTTTATGGAGCGCTGGTGGCATAGATCCTAACGCATCTGACTGCTAACCAGAAGGCTGGCAGTTCAAACCCACTAGCCATTCCTCGGAAGGAAGACTGGCCAATCTATTTCCGTGGAGATACCACCTCGGAAACCCAAGGAGGGGTCACTATGAGTTGGAATTGACTCAACGGCAGTGAGTTTGGTTTGGTTTTGAGTTACATGTTTCTTTGTTTTTGTTTTTTTAAGTTCTAATAGCTATATAGCATAGTGGCTAAGGTACTTGACTGCTAACCAGAAGGCTGGTGATTCAAACCCACCAGCCACGCCTTGGAAGGAAGGTTGGGCAATATACTTCCATAGTGATACTGCCTCAGAAACCCAAGGAAGGGTCATTATGAGGCCGGTCCAACTTGATGGCACATAACAACAACAACAATAGCTGTAAAGCAGCTCCTAGGTCACTCAAGGAACCTTAGAATAAGAGAACACTAGAACCCACAGATGATTTTTAACAGACATGAGGACCTGATTAATAGAATTTCTTCCTCCCAGTACTCTGCTCTTCTCCTCACAAATAGGCTTTTTTAATCCATAATGCTTTAAAGGGTGTTAATTAGTGTATCTTTTACAAAAATCTAGACATCGGATGGTCTCATGTTTCAACCCCCACTGTCTTGGTACACCAATGAGATTTCCAATAGGCTTGCCTCTCATACACACAGTGCTCCAATCTGGAATACATATGACTCCCAGTTTTTTAACCAAATATGCCATCTTATCTAAGGACCCCTGGTGGCACAGTGGTTAAGCACTTGGCTGCTAACTGAAAGGTCGACCTCCACTCCAGGACTGATTAGTAACTGGTTAATCTGATAAGCCACCATCAATGTTAGTGGTTTATAATAGTTTATAATATGCTTTCCAGAGATAATCAGCACTGCAGTTTCCTTGATGAGGAGCCACTGAACTGGTTAAATATTTTAGCGTGAAAGGCTTTCTCTAATTTCAAATTAAGCTCGATAGCTGAGTCTGCCTGGTTACACCTACAAGATAGCTGCTGCCTTTTTCTGCCCTCCACTTCCACTTACGCACAAACAGTTGGCAAGTCATGGGAAAGGTGATGCATAATCTACAATGGATAGTCCTTAAGAAAGAATTTTTCTGAAGTGATCACCATCTCTTCACTTACCCAAAGGCAGAGTACTTCCATAAGCTCAGGCCAAGAATTTGGCATTTGAAGATGAAGGCTAAGGATACTGTATGACATTGACTTCCGTCTCCAAGGAAATCTAGGATCTACTTGAAGTAAGTCTCTCATCTGTGGCCAAGGGTACCTAATAGAATTTGGTGGCCACTTCCTCCCATCAAATGCTACTAGCTCTTGCCATTTATTGTCCCCAATGTGCTGTCTGCAAGAGTACTTTATTATTCAGTGCTCTTCAGAGATGTTACAGAGTAAAATTTATTCACTCATTCATTAGTACATGAAATTTATTTTTTTAACCTCCCCTTGCACCTTCTTTCATTAATCCTCTCATGATCTTAATTGTTGGGTTTCTATAATTTCTAAGTCTGTTCCCAAAAGTTACAAACACAGAAATTAATAATCACTAAAACTGGATCCACCTACATTTTCACTCTCTCCATTGTAGCATCTCCTAGACAAAGAACCAAGAGTGTCAATGAATATTTAAGAAAAGACATTTACTTGCTAGATTCAGGTCAAAAATGTACCTGGCAACCCCTTTCAAGGAAATCAAAGCAAAGTTCACAAATTAAATGCTCACAGCTCATTGTCTCCAAGACGTTGTTAAGAATGTATTTGCCCACATTTTACCATACAGAAAATTGAATTAAACTGAATGAAATGTGAGACATTTCCAAAGCACAAAGAATCTGTGAAAAATCCTACATAAAACTGTCTACATCAAGCTGCCACCTAGTTATGAGGGGATAAATTAAGTGTAGCAAATGCCTGCTGTCTACATTTCTCATGCCAAAATGCTCTATTTCAAGTCAATTCTGAAATGGAAATCAGATCTTGCTCTTAAATATTATACATAATTTATGCAGTTGGACCAGAGAAGATGGTCTGCTTTTCTCTATTTGGTAAACAGTAATCTGGATCTGAAGCTTTTTCAA